CGTGGGTCAAGATGTCAATCCTTGAAGAGCGCTTCTGTTGTTAAACTCCATGCAGCACTCTGCACATGGCACAGGGTATTTTGGGGTAAGTGATAGAGAAATTTAGAAAATGTAATACTAATTCCCAGCAGGTACTTAAATGTCAATGTATTGTCTCCAGGAGAATGCAGTTCCTCATCACCACCACTAGCAAGTCCTTTGTAAGTATGCAAGAACAGGGATGTGTTTGTGGGTGTACCCGAGTACCGCTGTGGTCTAAACCACTGAGCCTCTTGGGCTTGCCAGTCAGAAGGTGACTCAAATCCCCATGATGAGGTGAGCTCCTGTAGCTTTGTCTCAGCTCCTGCCAACCTCGCAGTTCGAAAACACACCAGTGCAAGTAGATAAATAGGTACCACTGTGGCGGGAAGGTAAACGGTGTTTCCATGCGCTCTGGTTTCCATCATGGTGTTCCGTTGTGCCAGAAGCAGTTTAGTCATGCTGGCCACATAACCCAGAAAGCTGTCTGTGGACAAACGCCGGCTCCCTCGGCCTGAAGTGACATGAGTGCTGCAGCCCCATAGTCGCTTTTGACTGGACTTAACCAGTCATTACTAGGGGATTTGCACCTTTAAGGAGCCTTTCAATTAAAAGTGAACAGAGCTCATGCTCTTCATATTTTGGTTTAATCCACAAAGGGTGCAGACTTTCTTCATGGTGGCAAATGTCCAATTTGCATGTGCCCAAACTCTCCCAGCTTCTTCTTACACTATTATTAGAAGGCCATTTTAAGTAGCAGCTCACTGCAGGATGCAATTCATGAACAGTTTTTATTTATTGTTTTTGCATATGGTGGATCTATTAACTACAAAGCTAGACATCTGTATTCCACCCTGTATCACTTCGTTGCCGGTCAAACTCCCCTTGTGGAATGCAAATTTCACTATGTTCCAAATTCTGAAAGCAGCTGTACTTTTTCAAAATCTGAAAACAACTGGAGTTTTTCGGTTTGGTGTGTATGTTTGCCAATGAAGAAATTTCACTGGTGCATCCTCAAGAAGAGCCTCATATAATTTGTTAGTTACAGTCATGCCTGGGATGCCAATAAGAAAGTAAAGGAACCTGGCAATGGGAGCTCACCCTGTCGCGCTCTGTCCCAGCTCCTACCAACTTAGCAGTTCAAAAGCACGCCAGTGCAAGTAGATAAATAGGTACTGCTATGGCGGGAAGGGAAATGACATTTCCATGGCTCTGGTTTTTGTCACGGTGCCCCGTTGTGCCAGAAGCGGTTTAGTCATGCTGGCCACATGACTCGGAAAGCTGTCTGAGGACAAATACTGTCTCCCTTGGCCTGAAAGCGAGATGAGCGCCGCAACCCCATAGTCTCCTTCGACTAGACTTAACCGTCCAGGGGTCCTTTACCTTTTTACCTTTACCTGGGTAGCATCTGTGAGTAACAGAACTCCCTCTTCTCATGCCCGCTCCATGTTGCAGTCTTTAAAATGTTTTGGGTTTATTTCTGTTTTCAAACATATTTAGAGATCTAATACCACCCTGAAAAATGAAAAGGGGGAGACAAAAAAAAAGTGGTGACATTCAATAGAACTACCATTTCTCACTCCTCAACCAGAACAGTACCCTGCCATTTTTAAAAATCTTGTTTCTTCTATTTATCTTTAGGATTCGTATTAGTAAAAGAAGAGAAGTGATCCCCCTTGCTACTGCATCTCCCCCATTTTAAAGCATTGTATATCTGTTACCCTGCAGCAAAGCAATCCAAGCTTCAGACGTTACTCAGGCTAACCTACTGGTGGATCTTTGTGAGCACAAGCACTGTATTTATGAACAAAGTGAAAAAAATTCCTGGAAAGTTTCTCCGAAACAAAATAGAGGGTTGGGGAAAATGTTATCTTTGCAACAGAACTACCTTGATGAATTTCTCTGGATCCTCTTTAATAAATGGGTAATTTGCAGATATTTGTAATGCATAGGAATATCTAGAAAAGCCCTTAAGGCTGCAGCATCCTTAGAAACACTTTGTATTTGCATTCCAAACTGAATGTTCCTACAGTTACTACAGCGTCCCCTGGTGGCAAGAAAGTGCACCTGCACAATGCAGGATCTGTGCTCAGCAGGCTTGGACTAGATGAAGTCCAAGATCCTTCCTAGCTCTATAATTCTGTTACCCCTGCAACGATTAACGCTACATTGGTATTCATATCAACAAACTGCACTGAAGTCATTTATGGCACAATGATCAACAACATAGGCAAAGCTATTTAATGCTAGCACTACAACTATTTTATGTGAAAATCTAATTCTGCCCATATCTTCAGTAACAATGAGGAATAAATTTGTTTTGTTTTGCAGCTCAGTGCAAACCTATCTATTTATTTCACACCTCCCAAAACAATGCTTAGGCTGAAATACAGTTATTCTTTGAAATTCACATTTTTTGAATTTTGCAATGCAGTTCTCTAATCAAAAACATGTTCAAAAATATTTATACTGAGGGATGATGTTTATAAAACGTGCATATATATATATATGAAAATAACACACAGAAATGTATAATGTTACAGAAAATTGATTGCAAACATGTATTTTAGTCAAGACCGCATACTGAAATATTTATATTAGGGTACAAAGATCATTAAAATCCTGATGTTAATAAAACAAAACAAAACAAAACACACACCTGCAAACTGATAGGGAAATGTGGCAAACTGAATTATAGACAGGAAAAATGAGATAAGCCAAAATTGACAGATTTGTCCAAACCTAATCTGCAGGTCTGCTTCAGAAATCAGTGGTTGAAATCTGTGGTCCCCTCTCACCTGGAGAACTCAAGCAACCTCTTTCAAAGGAGGCACACAAAGAAAAGCTTGCAGGTTGTAAAAAATATTATTCAAATTCATTAAAAAAATTAAATAAGGTTTCTGATGACAAACCCAGGGTTAATGTAGATTAATACAGGAAGCAGCAGTCCTTGAAGTATTGGTGTTCTCAGCTGCATAAGGCTTTATGAATCAAAACCAGCTCTTTGCATGGAATGCAGAAGTCAATCAATGGCCAATGCAGTCAGGCCAAAATAAGAGTTATATGCTCAAACCATACTAGTCCCAGTCAACAATCTGGCTGCTGAATTCTGCATTAGCTGCAGCTTCTGAACACCTTTCAAAGGCTGCCCCACATATAATGCGTTCTAACCTAGAGGATACCAGAGGAGAGATAACAGAAGCTAGGCTGTCCCAACTTAGAAAGGGCTTCAGCTGGACCACTAACTGAAGCTGATAGAAGGCACTCCATGCCATGGAGTCTTCTTATGCCCTCATCAACAGCAGTGAATCCAGCAGCACACCCAAGGTGCACACCTAATGCTTCAGGGGACTGCAACCCAATCCAGAACGGGCTGAACCCCATTCATTCAGTCTAGGGAACCACCAACTAACAGTGTAACAGTCATATGTGGATTAAGCTTACTGGTTCTCATCTAGTCCATTACCAAAGCCAGAAATCAATTCAGCGCACCCTCCATCATTTAAAGGAGAAATAGAGCTACGTGTCATCAGCACATGTAATGACAATGCTGTCTAAATCTGTGCATGACTTCACCTTAATGCACTTTACTTGTGCAAACCTAAATTCCTGGTTTCCAATGGAATCCCTCTCACAAAATGCTGACGGTCTTGAAGCAACCTGATAGTAAGGAATATATATATATATATATATATCCATAATAAACAGTGCCTAGTCACTTCTGAGAGAGAAGTTAAAGTTAATGTGGCTGACTTCTGATTGGACAGACATAAATTCAAGCTGCACAGCTCCAATCCTGGTTTGTTTGTTTTTAATACTTTCACTGTGCTTCTACTCAGTGCTTTTTTCCCTAGAAAAATAGGTGCCAGTACTCACCATGAAGTTGTTACAGTAAGTGCCACACTTTTTAACAACAAAAAGAGGTGCCAGTACTGTGTATCCTTGAGTACCCCCTGAAAAAAATACACTGCTTCTACTCATATATTCAAATCAACATTTGATAATGGCTACAAACCAATAAAAACAAACTATGTAGATACTTTCAACAAAGCAGAATAATAAGCAGTCATAAAACCCCCAAACTAATTTGATGCACAATTACCTGTAAGCACCGTAGAACACATTGGGAACTACACTAGAGTAAAGATGACTTTATATGCGGTGGCTTTCTGCTCAAACTTCACAAGAAACCTCTGAAAGTCAAGGGGTCTTCAAGAGCAGCGTTCCATATAGTGGTGCAGTTAAGTAATTTTGGGCTCTGAACTGAATTGTATCACAGTTTCCCCCCAACCCCTAAGATGTGAATGAATGCACCTTATTTTGAAATGTAGCAAACCATCACACACATACTTGAGAAGCCCTCGCGCTCATTCTGCTGATGAAGCCTGGGATTTCTGCTTCAAAGTCCCTCCCCCAACACATATCTGAAACCCAATCAACGTTATATGGATTAGTCAAGATTTTCTTCATTCCGGGTCAGAGAAATCTCTTTGATGACATCCTCCTGGCATTTATTTTGGTTTAAACATGCTTAGTTGATTTAAAAAAAGTTGTAGTTTCACTGGCCCATTATTACAGGCAGTATTAATCCCTAAAATTTTAAGAATTAAAAAACGGGCTACTTTCCTGATTCCTTTTTATCCCTTTGGCTGAAAAGCAAAATCAAATAGTTAAGATCCGTTGGCTTTCCAACCTCTCTCACGTTTCATGATGTCCTACACATATCATTGTCTTCTCTTGGAAGATGATGGGGTAAAATTCAGATCAAAGACCAGCAACCATATGTGATGGTGTTGTGCACAACTATACAGTGGTACCTCGGGTTACATACGCTTCAGGTTACAGACTCTGCTAACTCAGAAATAGTACCTCGGGTTAAGAACTTTGCTTCAGGATGAGAACAGAAATTGCGTGGTGGCGGCGCAGCGGCAGCAGCAGGAGGCCCCATTAGCTAAAGTGATGCTTCAGGTTAAGAACAGTTTCAGGTTAAGAACGGACCTCCGGAACGAATTAAGTACTTAACCTGAGGTACCACTGTACAATGAAATGTTGCAACTACAGTATTAAAACTAAGCACATTTCCAGAATGAGGTGCAATTTAGTTAATTCGGAGCAATCAAAACAGTATAATCTATGCAAGTCTACTTTGTAGTAATCCTTATTTAGTTCAACTGAGGTTACTTCCAGCTAAGTATATATATAGGGCCTGCAGCCTTACTTCCAGGTAGGTGTGCTTGGGTTTACAGCATTTGCTATACTTACCTAGTTAGCTTAGTTAAGCCTTGGAGTGGAGAAGACCTGGCTTAGCAATCAATTTCACAAGCAGAGACACACGGTGGAGTATTAAGATGATCAGTAAACTGGATTATCTCATCAGGTGTATGTTTTTTCCTTTAATGCCTTGTTAGAAAGGAATTACACCTGGATATTATTTAAGAAACCAGAACTGACCAGACCAGAACTGACTGACCAGAACTGCATGTGGAAAGGGTGGTTTCTTTGCTTCGACAAATCCCCATCATGAAGATTTTTGGGGAAGTACTTGTTTGTCTGTGGTCTCTAAGGCTACTTTTTTATAGTGTCTTGTGTTCCCCCAGTCCCAAGGATGAAGGGGGATCTCAGACATCGCTGGTGTCAGAAGCCTCTGAGCTGCCTCCAGTGTTGTTATTTTGTCCAGATGCAGAAAATGGCTACGGCCAGTTGCCTACACCTTCCAAGATATTGTCTGACCACCATCAGCAGGAGTTGGGAGATTGTGTGCCAGGACCACAACTGGATTCCAAAGCCCTGAGATACATGAAGAGGCTTTATAAAATGTCTACTACAAAAGAAGGATTCCCAAAGATAAACCATCTCTATAACACAGTCCGACTCTTAAGTCCAGGTGCTGAAGGCAAGCACCTCACCATAGGACAAACAAAAGGTAAGTGAGGAGATATTTGATGACAATTCCCCCCCCCCCAAAAAAAAAAAACCTCACATACACACACTTGGTGTTTTGGGGTTGAATTATTATCCCATCTGTAGATTTCTTGCCCTTGTAAATCAATGGAATTTCTGTACTGTTCTTCTTATAAAGGTACAAACAATACAATTTGTTGGTCCTATATTTGTGTCTGTGTAGGTATGCAACCTTTAGAGGTCAAAAAGCTCTCTGGTCAAGTTCACATGGATCTTCTCTATGAGTAGTTCATGTTTCCAAGCATGTAGTAATGGGAATTTATCCTTTTCTAATGTGTATCTTCACGCTGGATTTCTATTACGGGATTTCTATTGTTCCTATTGCGGGTATATCCAAAACTGTATAAGAGTTTTGTTTAATTATTTGTGGGATAGGCCAAGTGGGGATTGTAATAAAGCCAATCTTAATTTTGGCAGAAAACTCGGAATGGGTCTGGTCATCTGGCCACAGTTTGGATTACTGTAATGTGCTCTTCATGGAGCTGCCTTTGAAAAGTGCTTAGAAACTGCAACTTGCTCAAAGAGCTGTAGCCAGACTGGTGATGCACTAGTTATAGGGAGCATATGGCTGCTTCTGGGCACAATTCAAAGTGCTGGTTGTCACATATCAAGTCCTATGTGGATTCAGTCCAGGCTAACCAAAAGACCATATTTCTCAAGCGAACCTGCCTGAGCTCTTAGATTTTCAGGGGAGGCCCTTCTCTTGGTCCCACCATCCTCACAAGCATGCTTGGGACACAGGAAGAGGGCCTTCTTGGTGGCTGCTCCCAAACTTTACAAACTTCCTAGAGAAATTAGGCTGGCTCCTTCCTAGAGTTGTCCTTATGCTGGCAGGTGAAGGCTTTTTTGTTGCAACAGGCTTTTGGGAACTGCCCATTTTTAAGAAAAGGGATTGAGCTGTGATGTTTTTATTGGAATATGTATGTTTTATTAGATTGTGTGTGCATTCAATTGTTTAATGACTGCTTTTTTCCCTATGTTTTTAGCTGTTTATACTTTAGCTGTAAGCTGCCTTGAGTCCCTGTTAGTGGAAAATATATAGGGATATAAATATAATAATAATTTTGGTGGCATTTATATAGATCTGTTTAGCACTGTGTGAGAGCACTGTTTGGATTTAATAACTTGTAACAATTGAGCCCTAGTTAGGCGCCAAGCCTATTAGTCTTACCTTGGAACCTGAACACCTTGCAAGCTGAACATTTTGGCCCCGAACGCCACAAACCTGAAAGTTAGTGTTCCGGTTTGTAAACGTTCTTTGGAACCCAAACATCCAATGTGGCTTCTGATTGGCTGCAGGAGCTTCCTGCAGCCAACTAGAAGCTGCGTCTTGGTTTCTGAACTTTTTGGAAGTCGAACAAACCTGAAAAGTCAAGAGAAAGAAATGCAAGTTTTTGGCCTCTCTAAAACATTCTGGGATTGCTCTCGGAATAAACTGCATCTTTAGAGTAAGGCACACAATTGAAATCTTCCTTGATACTTATAATGCTATGGGAAAGCTGGAGTTGTGAGGAATTTGCTGCTTAAATAACATAATATTACGAATAAAATGCTATCATTGGTACAAAGTGTTTTTTCTTTCTTTTGGCAGGAGACCTTCGTTCACCAGGCTTCCTCTTCAGCTTGGACCATGTTACTGCTTTGGAACACTTAGTCAAGTCGGTCTTACTCTACTCATTTGATAAACCATTTCCTAAATCGTGGGCTGTTACGTGTACAGGTAATCTGGTTGTAAAGGCGGGTGGTGCCTCTGGTCAAGCACACCCCATTATTGAACATGCCATGACCTTCCACTTTGAACTTGGACGCAAACGGGCTGAGATTGATGTGACCTCTTTTACCTGGCCTCTGATAGCCTCTAACAATAGAAGCGTTTACATGGCTGTGAATATTGTTTGCCCGAATAACCAGCCCTCCAACTCCAAACAGGATCCCTTTAATATGACACGGGCATCGCTTTCTCTTCTCCTGTACCTCAATGACACCAGTGAGCAAGCTCACCCTACATGGGATTTTCTCAAGCACAAGAGAAGGAACTCCATGCAAGCCAGGCTGGAAAGGGGTCCTTTCGCAGGTCTCGGAAGGGAGGCAGGAAAAGACCTCAAACAGAGCACAAGAAAGCCTCGTCACCGAAGAGATGGAGATGGTCAAGAGGAAAACAAATCAGTTTCCATAGACAACTTACGTAAGTACTACGAACAGTTTCTTTTCCCACAAAATGACTGTAAGCTTCACAACTTCAGGCTGAAATTCAGCCAGCTGGGCTGGGACAGGTGGATAATTGCACCACACAGATACAATCCTCGCTATTGCAAAGGTGACTGTCCAAGAGTATTTAGGCATCGCTTTAGCTCTCCTCTGCACTCGATGATACAGAACCTCATACATGAAAAAATAAACCCCTCTGTCCCCAGGCCCTCCTGCATACCTGCTGAATACAGCCCCCTGAGTGTCTTGGAGGTAGAGCCTGATGGATCAATTGTGTACAAAGAATATGCAGATATGATTGCTACCAAGTGCACTTGCCAATAAAGCCAGTGCTGATTTATTAATAATGTGATATTTTCCCTTAACAGTAGAAGGAAAGTAGCCTGTTGGTTAAAAAAGAAAAAGAAAAAAAAGACTTAGAATGGAGTACTGAGGCAGGTATTTTCAGGACAGCATTTAATTAGCCCCCTCTGATTTGAAAGAGGCAAAGTATGGGCATAAGGAGGTTTCCTTGTTATCTTTTTTCTTTCTTCAAAATGGGGGGGAAAGACATGAATTGTGAAATGTTTTGGCTAGGGGAAGAGTGGAAGCGCTGTTTCTCTAGATAAGCAAAAAAGTAGAATGCCTGTCCTTTCATGCCACTTTTGTAGTGTTCTTCTTTAATCATGTTGAAAATATTTTTTATTTTGAAGAAATTTTATGACAAGTGTTTGGGCACAGAAGGTTTTATTATTGCTAACTGCTCAATCACTTAATTTTAATAAGTACTTTTAGTGATTGAAACTGGTTGTCTGAGACAGCTCCTGTTCTTTATTATGATGACTACCAGATGTAAAGGTTCGTTTAAAGCAATGAATAACCTTTTGTTTAACTTTGAAGGCTCTCATGTTACAAAAGAATGTAATTGTAAAAAAAAATGTCCTAGTTGTGTGTCTAGGAAACACCTTACTAGGGTGGCTAAACACATTACAAAATCCTGTGTGAAGACACGTCTGAGTGGGCAGTAACCTGTAACCTGCATGCAGATCATACATGCAGCTTTCTACATGGAACACAGGCATGACGTCATGCAAGTTTCTTGCTAAGTTCTACACAGAAGTGCCTTCAAACAGATTGGGGTGGGAAGTGACTCACATTTCTGTCAATTGAATGGTGGGCACTGGGAAGGAATCTGTTGAACTTGTCCATGAGCCTACATCAGACTGGATTGATGAGCTCTGTTAAATATGGCATTCAGAAATGTTCAAATGCTTGCTGTCTTCTATTCTGGTTGGTTTATGAACAGGAAACAAAATTCACCTAAACACAAATTAAAACACAAAGTTACATTCTAGTGCCATAGTTAAGCATGTCTGTAAATGAAAAGTAGGTGGGTTTTCCAGTGATAAGCTAGCTTAAAGCATTTTAATGATTCCTTTCTTCTGTTGCTGAACTGAAATTCTGTCTGAATGTGTTTGTAAACCTGAACACTTGCTGGAAATAAATGTGAAGCAGTTATAGCTTGGCTTGTTTGTTTGCTCTTTCTAGAGAATAATTGTGATTCACTCATTTTATTTAACAGGCCACTGACAACCCAAGTTCACGATCTCAGTTAAAGGGGAAATGCCAACACACCAAAACAAGGTAGTGACTTCTAAACCCTTGGGTGGGACTCCCCAGACATGTGAACTAACTAGCTAACTAAAAACAGAACACAAATAACTTATGGGATGTTTAAAGAGAGATAAGAAACCTCTATAACTCATCAGCTACACAAAGATGAAACTTTGGTGTTCCTACTGAACACCAAATCCCTCTCTTTGCTCTCCCTTTCTTTAGGGAGGCAGCGGGTGGGGTGGGGGGACAAAGAAGACACATTGCTTGCTGCCCAGTCTCAGCTAAACTAAAATCCTGGATTTCACCATTGTTTTCTATGGACAGTTCTCACTACCACCACAGGGGGGTCTAAAGGAACTGGGAGTTCAGATTGACTACTATAGCCTTGTTCGCATGTACAAAAAATGCGTGTGAGAGCTTAACTGCAAAGTGAGAGTTGGTACATTATGGCAATGCTTGGTCCTTTGAATTCATGTTCTTTTGAATGCATGCATAGGGCTTGTGCGTTGAGCAATTAAATCTGTGGTTAGGGAAGTTGAAACATGGAATGCTGGTGGTTTGGGGGGTGGACAGGAAAATGGAAACGAAGAGAGGTAAGGCATGCTTAAGCCCCGTAACTGTTCAAGATCTGGGAGGTGCACATTAGGAAGTTCAGCGCTCCTGCCCATGCTAAAGAAACAAATAGTGCTAATTTTTTTAAAAGTAGGTCTTTGTTGACTAAGATTTTTGCAATGAACACCATAGGCATGCCTCTGTGAGAACGGAGGTGGGTGCTGTGACAAGAGTTGGTTAATTAGCTCTTAGCTGTGTTCCTTACTAAACAGTAGGTACATACGTTGTTTCTGCTACTATTCTGAAGAACTTGCTTCCAATATGACCTCACCAGACGTCATCTCTCTAAAAAGCCAATAAGCAAATCATGATTATGCAGCACATTGTTGTACGTACAGAAGCTTGACACATAGAATATTACTTTGAGCAATATATTTTTTATCTCCAGTCCTCTAAAACCTGCCTACCAGATCACTGATCCATTTCTGCAACTTCTTTACATAGTGCTCCCCCTTAAGAGAACTGTCAGTTTGATAATTTAACGCCACTTTCAAAGTTTTTGTGGTAGCTCAGTCTCGGAGACATGAATTACTTTTCCGTGTTTTCTCATATAAAATAGTGAGGGCATACAGATCTCTATGTTTTTCATCTCGGACATTATATTTAATGTAGTTAAATATATACCTGGGTCTAGCTTCATTTCATATGTTTGTCCAATTAACCCCAACACCATTCTCCAACATTTGGCTGCCTTTTACATACCGACCACATATGAAACAAGCCTCCTTTTTGTTGCTTAGAGCATCCAGTGCTTTCCTTCTCCTTACAGATTTCCCAAGTTTGCCATTGACTTGGACACATCTGTGTACTCATTTCATAATTCTCTTTATGCTGTGTGGCTATAGAAAACCCAGATTCTTTTGTATACCAGTGTACCAAACAAAATGGGGCCCAGGCTCCAATCAGCTGACTGAAGTAACTGCATAATTTCAAAGGGCCTTTTTGAAGTTGTTGCCTGATGTCATAATGATGTCAGCTGATCAACAGGTAGGCCCAAAGGGGCCTGCGGAGCATGGGCTAGTCCTACATCTGGCTGAAAAAGTTTATCCACTCAAGTTATATATTCCATTTGATTAATTCTCCTTGTTAGATTTTTCCCTAGCTATGTATAAATAAAGCATTTAATTTCAGAACTGGCAGCCAACCTCAAACCTAAGCCCTTTTTCATTGATGTAGCCCTGTGTGGGAAGGTTTCAGGCTGATGGGAAATATAAAGGGAATCCCCTCAGAGCTTCAACTCCTGTTTCATGTTGGTGGCTGGGGATATATTGACACACTTTTTTGCAGGCCTTTTAATTCTAAATTCTGTAGTCTTATTCTAAAAGTGAAGTTCTTTACATGCTTGCTCAGTCATGCTATGGTGCTGGGCTGCAAACCAGTGTTGGGCTGATTCCTCACCTTTGCACTCTGCTAATGGCTGCAGGTGGCCATGACCCTGACTGCCAAATCTGTCTCCATCTAAATAGGGTTTTTTTAATCCCAAATGTGCAGAATAGCAATATGTAAACAAGTACCAGTTCTCTATGCAGAATAGTACAATTAATGAGTCAACTCTTGCAGCTGAGAAAATGTATAGTGACCATGGGGCCACTGGCAGAGGAAGAGGAGTTCAGGGGGAGTGCATTGCGGCTGTCCCCCCCCCCCCCGCACTGCCAGCCCCGCCGCCTCCCCCCTCCCCCCAGTGCCGGAGCATGAAGCTCCGCCACTGCATGGGGCACCCAAGCTAAAAAAGTACCGAAGGTGTGCACACTCACACACATATTTGGCTCTTTTTGGACATGCATGTGCCTCAAATATTAGTTTTCACATAACACGCTAAAAAAGGTGCCTTCATGCTACTGTGCTGCACACAAATTTTAATGCAGGATAGAAAAATGGCAAAAATAAATGGAATGCCCATTCTTGTCTGCAGCTGTAGAGTTTACCTTTGAATTACATAATTTCAGAGTAAAGTGAGTAAACCATAACAAGTTGTTGCACAGACAGAAAAATAATAGTAGTGGAACAGCATATGTAACACAGCATAGCACTCAGTGATGCAAACAGGGCCAGATTTAGGTTTGATGAGGCCCTAAGCTACTGAAGTTAATGGGGCCCTTTATATGTCCAGCTGTCCTTTGTCAACAACAAGTTGTCGCTGTTTTTTGTGTTGAATATATGCTATATGGTAATTTATGGACCTAACAGCCATTTGCTACTGTTGCTGTATGTAGGTTTTATTTTGTTTTTTTCATCTTATAATTTGGAAATGTACATCCAGGGGTTTTTTCCCTTTAATTTTTTTGGGGGCCCCAAGAGAGTGGGGCCCTAAGCTATAGCTTGTTTAGCTTATACGTAAATCCAGCACTGGGCAAAGCATATGATAGTATGTCTCTGATTTGTATAGGGGATAAATGCCTACTGCCCACATTCATGATAGGAGCACCAGAAGCTGCTTTGCAGAGAGTCACACCAGTGTTTTCTACACTAACTGGCAGCAGTTTCCCAGGGTTTCAAATAGGCATTCATTCTTGGACCTACCTGGTTTGTGTTCTGGCTAATCCCTACTCAGCCAGGAAGGGGGTATTTTGGGGGGGCGGGGGAGATATAGACATGTAATAAGCCAACTCTCCCCCCTCCTCGTCTTTCCCACCGCCCCAAACAAAACGAGGAGGCATTGGATCAGTGGCGTAGCGTGGGTTGTCAGCACCCGGGGCAAGGCAAGTAATTTGCGCCCCCTAACCCGTGGATTTGCGCCCCCTAACCTGTGGATTTGCACCCCCTAACCCTAACCCCCAGATGTTGCGCCCGGTGCGCCCGGCCCCCCCTGCACCCCCCACGCTACGCCACTGCATTGGATGCCCCTGCTTGGTGATGCTGGTGGGTTGGGTTGGTGTGAGTTTGGCCCTGCCCGTTTGAGGGTGAGGGTCCCACCAGTCGACTCTTTCCCTTAAGGTTGGGACTTACTCGCCACACCTGAGGGGAAGCTGTCAAAGAGCTGGTAGGGGCGGTGCGGGGTGGCGATAAGTATCCTTTCCACTCTCTACCTGGAGCCATTCAAGGGCATTGGATATGGAAGAGGGTGGGAAAAAACGGCTGAGAGGGGTTCCCGCTTTTACCGCTGGAGTCCTGCAGAGGGTGCAGCGAGCCCACGTCGCCTCCCCGGCTGTCGATCCGGAGCGCGAGGGGAGCGCCCGGGCTTCTCACCCTGCAAGAAACAGCGGCCTGAGGGTGGGCGCCTCGCCCAGCCCAGTCCGTTTATTTCTGAGAAACTTCTAAGAATAAAGGCTGGGACGGGCAAAAAGTCCGCAGCAGGCTTATAACAATGACAGGCTTAGCCTGTTTGTTGTGTTTTGCACCGCCAAAGGCTAACAGATTGCTAATGGCCTCATAAATGCGTCACTCTTTAAAGGGCCGCAAGACTATTGAAAATGGCCAGGGAGCTGACGCGACCTGTGACTACCGCCCGCGATTGCTCTTGTTCTAAGGAGTTTGCTTACAGGCAGACAGGAGCATTGCTTGACTGGTTATAACACGTTTGTACAAGTCTTAAAAACACACAACACACCCCCGTCACTTTTGCACCTTAAGGGCATTCTTTATCCAGTATCTGCGTGCCGAACACATACAGTATTTTGCTGAAACCTCTAATGGCTTCACCCCAAAGAATCCTAGGAAATGTAGTTTGCTGGAGTGCCCTGCTCTTGTTTCTAATTTCTCTGGTTCCTGGAGGAGAGGAATATGACTATGAAACTCAGACAGGCACGACTCCATCTTATTCATGTTTACTTGGAAGTTTAGTCCCAAGTAAGCCTTGGCAGGATTCCAGCTGTAATTCTCTGCTGCTACCACCATTCTGGAAGTTTTGAGTCGAAAGCTGCCACGGCTCTGCCCAGCAAAATTTACCAGTACATTTCCATTTCCAACTTTTAGATCGGTTTGTTGTTTCCCCCCTACAATGTAAAATACAACCTTAAAATACAAACAGCACTTTCAACTGTCTTGCTTATCAATATAACGCCACAGAAATAAATCCAGTGGGTGAGACAATGCACTATTAAGTGTGTGAATTCAGAGTTTCTTTAGGGTGAGGAACCTGTGGTCTTCCAGATGGCCCTGGTCTCTCCAGCTTCCATCCTTCGGACCACTGGCCATATTGACTGGGTCTGATGGGAGTTGGGGTCCGATGACACCCGGAAAGTCACAGGTTGCTCACCCATCCCTGAATTAAGGGCTTAAGCCCTCTCCGTCCATGCTGCACTTCCAGTGGCTTTTTGGA